ACCATTGATAAATGACAGACCATGAGTCACTGGGGGAAAAAAAAACCCCAGCAAGTTTTTGTGTGCCTACTCTAGCACCTTCCAGAAACATGTCACTGCAGCCCTCCCTACAACTTGGCCATCTGTCCTCAGCAGCCAAGCGTGGCGTCTTTTAGGGTTTCTCTTTCCTATACCAGGCCAGCCTCATCTACAGATGCATTAGAGATTTTTTTGAGGGGGGGGGTAATCCTGATTTTCTGCAGTGAGGTCTGGGACTTTGCAAGACTTAAAAGGAAGAAGGAAAGATGGGGCTGAGGACTGGGGGTGGACAGTGGAATTGGGAGGCAAGAGGAGAAAGGGTAAGGTGGGCATTTTCCAAATGCACTCTCAGTGCTAAATACAGCTTAAAAAAAAAGAAAAAAAATAGATTTCTAGCTTTAGGGCATTGTTGCTAGAGAACACTGCCTGGAATGATTTCTGACCTTTGAAATTGTTGAGCCCGGCTCTATTGAGCAGCCAATTTGGCAGGTGCGCTTATGTGCTTGAAAATAACGTCTGGGGTACAGAACTCTGCGTGTGTCTAATAGAGCAGGTTGTTAATCACTTGTACACAAATTTTGTCATCATTTACTAATGTTCTTTGCTTGATCTATTTATTACTAATGGGTGGCCTTGAGAACGTTCTCTCTGATAGTGGACCTTTTGGTGGAGTTCTGTTGATTTTGCTTGATCTGTTTTGAGATTATTTCAAGGCAGTGAGCTTAGAAGCATCAAATTACCTTACAGCCTATTTTGTTTCTCACGACACCGTTGCCTTTCAGACTATTTTGTGTGGTGTAACTATAGCTAGGCCAGGTTGCTTTGGGTCAGTGTTGGTTGATGTATCTTTTTCTTCCTTCCACAATTATCTTCCCTTTGGGTCCTTTGTAAAAAGTGTGCTTTAAATAATACATATCTGGAAAATATTTTTGATAGTCTGACAATCTGTTGTTTAACCAATGGCACCATCCAATTATACCTAATTACTGATTTAGGTTTATTGCTATGACCTGATTTTGTGTTTTCCATTTGTGCTCTTTCTCCCTGCCTTTTTGGGAAGGATTTGCATAAGCTCTCTTTTTTTTTCCCCCTTGGTCCAATTTTTATCCTTTTGTACTCTTTCTATGCTTTAGTAATCACTAAACGAATAGGAAAAGGACAAAAATTAGTAATGTTTATGTGCATAGTTAGCAAATTCTAAAGTTAACCAAGGCATTAGGTTTTTGGAACCACTATAGACAGTAGAAGGCTTTTTCTGCTCTCCCCATCCCTTTCTCTGCTGGCATGTTGTTATTTTATAGAATTTTCTATATAAGCAAAGTCTCTTGAGCTGTGGAGACTGGAGCCTCCAGTCTGTTATTTATTAGCCATGTGACTCTGAATGAGTGACTCAACTTCTCTGTGCTCCAGTGACTTCAATGGTAAAAGGGAGATAATGGTCATATGTGAGAAGGAAGAACGAGTGAGTTCATGTGAAGTTCCTAGAATTGTTCTTAGCACATGCTAAATCTTCAAAAGTGGTTGGTAGACTAGGGGTGTGACTAAGCACTGATTTAGTGTGAGGGTCAACTTGATTGGATTGAGAGATACCTAGGAGATTAGGCGTGTCTAGAGAGGATGAGCTAAGTGGCGTGGACCAACCCTGGATGTGGGCAGTGCCATCCCATAGGCTGAGGACCCAGATGGAATAAAAGGGAAAAAGGAGAAAGCCCACATCCCATGCATTCTCTCTCTCTCTCTCTTTCTCTCCTGGCCTTCCTGATGTGAGTTGCTCTGCTCCCCAATGCCCTCCCTGCTGTGAGCCAAATTGTTTTGCTCAGGTATTTTGCCACAGAGATGAAAAACTAATACAGAAAAGTGGTGCCAGAGAAGTGGGGTTGTTGCTGTGAGTACCTGTCAATGTGGTTTAGAAGGCTTTTGAATTGGTTTGGGGGAGGAATTTGGAAAAGTTTGATATGTGGGGTAGAGAGGTCCTAGAAAGCTGTTAGCAGAGCTTCTTGGGCACTTCTGGTGGGAACTCAGAAGACCAGACTGCTGATAGAAATGCAGACATAAAGACTGCACTCATAAGGTTTCAGGTGGAGCAAGGATTCTATTGGGAGTTGACGAGAGGCCATCCATGTTACAAAAAAGTTGTCCACATTTTGTCCATATTCTGAGACTTTGAGTGCAGCTGTATTTAAAAGAAGCTGGCTAGTTAATTTGTCAGAGGAAATTTCAAGGCATCATAGCTGTCAGGCTGTGGCATGAATATTGCTCTTATAGAGGGTCACAGTAAGAAATAGGAACAAAAGCAGAACAGAAAGTTTTGAAAAACTTTCAGTCTACCCAGAAAAAGGCATGAATGTGAAGTTGGGGCCAAGGAAAGTGTGGCTGCTGAAGGGATTAGGGCAATTAAAAACAGGTCAAGTAGGGGCTGATAGAGAGGCTCAAGTGGTAGGGTGCCTGCCTAGCAATTGTGAAGCCCTGAGTTCAAACCCCAGTTAAAAAAAGAAAAAGAAGCCAAGTGCTTTGCACAGGGGATTAGGAAAGATTCCTTGAGGGCATCTCAGGAATTGGCCAGAATTACTCCTCCCCTTCACTGCACCATGGATAGTAGGCGAGGATGTAAAAGCTTTAACTCATTTGAAAGCCTTTGCTTTCAGAAGACTTGGCTCCCTGCTTGCACAGGGCCATCTAGGGGAGTTTTTCCATGGGTTTAGCCATCCAGGCAGTCAAAGGCCACAGTGGCCATGGTCCAAGTGGACCCAGGTACTGCTGGAGATGGCAGTGGACCTTGGCATTGTCAATGAGAGGCTGGTTTTGCAGCCTCATGGAGGCTTCCACCTAGATTTCAAAGGAAATCCTGGGAGGCCAGGCAATGTAGGGCAGGGGTCCCTGCAGGCAGCCAGTGAGAGTGTGATGTGTGAAATTCTGTGAGTGAAGCCTAAACTGCAATGGAGACTGCCAAGAAGTTAGAGGTCCCAGGAATGTGGCAAATCTGGCGAGGAAAACCACAGGCAATGAGCAGAACTAGCCCAGGAGAGAGGCCATGTGAGCTGCAAACTGCAAGGCCATGGGGGCAGGGCTACCCAAGCCCTTTGGAGCACATATGACATCACCATATGTCCCCAAGGGCAGATATGGAGCTACAGGATTTAACATTTTCCCTTCTGGCTTTCATTCTTGCTTTGGAATGATCCTTCCTTGCTAATCTCCTATTCCATTTTGGAATGGGAATATTTGCCATTGTAACTCAGAAGTATGCAGCTTTCTTTCTGATTTGACAGGGGCTCATACCTGAGAGTTTGTCTTGAGTCTCAGGAAAGATTTTGGACTTGGACTTTTGAACAATGTTGGAACTATTAAGACTATGGGAATTCTTGGAGAGGGACTGAATGAGTTTTGCATTATGAGATAGACATGAGCCTTTTCAGGGCCAAGGGTAGAATGTTATGTTTTAAGGAGATGTTTGGATGTCAAGTTGACAAGGGGTGGACTTGTGATGGTTAATCTCCAATCGTCAACTTGTTTGGATTGAGAGACACCTAGGAGATTAAGAAATCACAGCTCTGGCTGTGTCTGTTGGGGCATGTCCAGAGAGGATTAGCTAAAGCGGGGGGAGACCTGCTGTGAGTGTGGGCAGCACAATCCCATAGGCTGGGGGTCCAGATGTTGTAAAAGGGGCAAAAGGAAAAAGTAGTAACACAAGTGCTCTGTCTCTCTGCTTCCTGGCTACCATGGTGTGAGCTGTTCTCCTCTACCATGCCCTCCCTGGCACAAAAGACCAACACCTCTGAAACCATGAGCCAAAATATATCACTCCTCTCTTAAGTTGCTTTGCTCAGGTATTTTGTCATGGAGACAAAAAACACTGACCTAGCATGTGCAAGGTCTTGGGTTCTATCCCAGCACCACCAAAGAAGAAGAAGAAGAAGAAGAAAAGGTTAGCGATCATATGTTCATTATTTTTCCCCACAATTAGATTCTGATGCTATTGTTATAGTGGTGTATGCTTAGATTTACTCAGTTTCCCTTTTTTTGCCTACTATTCCTTCTCATATCTTAGGTCTTTCTTCTGGGGTCATTTTTTTTCTTCCTGGGTAGTTGTTTATAAGGTATTTTAGTGAGGCTTTTCTTATCAGTCACCTTTAGGCTCTGTTTGCCAGGAAGGTATTTTGTTGTTTTTCTTGGAAGTCAGTTGTATTATAAACTATTATGGATCAATGATTGCTTTTCATTAGTACTTTGATATTCATCCATTTTTTTCCTGTCATCGATGGTTAATTAAATCATTATTCTTTGTAAGTCAACTGCCTGTTTTCTATGGCTACCTCTAGGATTTCTTTCTCTCTGATATTCTAAGTTTTACTTGAAGGTTCTAGGAAAGGAATTCTTGGACTGGGTGTGTGGCTCAGTGGTAGAGCACTCGCCTAGCTCATGCAAAGCTCTGGGTTCAATCCCTAAAAAAGAAGAACTAAAAGAATTGTTTTTTCAATGCTAGGTATTGAACCCAGGGCTTTGTGCATGCTAGACAAGTACTCTGCCACTGAGCTACATTTCTAGTCTCCATGTGTATTCAATTAAACTCATAATATCTTTTTGGGTTTGGTCCTGTGATCTTTCTGGTGACTTTTGATCATGGTATCTTATTTCCTTGTGTGCTTTAATTTTATGTGTTGAGATGAATTTTCTGAAAACATGGGTATTAATTGCCACATGACAGACACTCCAATGAATGTCCAAAAATTTAATCTTCTCAATGTTTGCAAGAAAACCTTATTCCTTCGTATAGATGAAGAAAATGAAGCTCAAAGAGGTTAAAACTTGTTGAAGGCCATATTACCCATAAATCATGGAGCTGTGACTTGAACCCAGGCCTACTTTACTCTGAAATCCTCCACTCCCCTTCTTTCCCACAACCCACCACCCATAGAGGAAACTGATGCCCAGTGCAAACTGTACCTCCACTGACCTTGGGATTTCTTCACGGTCTCCTACAGGGGCTCCCCAGGAGACAAAGAGTCTCATGAAGGCTTCCTACACTCCAGAGGTCATTGAGAAATCAGTGAGGGACATAGAACACTGGCATGGCAGAAAGACAGATGAGCTGGGTAAGTGGGAGCTATGATTGATTCTGTTCTGGACCTGTTCTCAGGTCCAGAAAGAAGACAGAGTCCTGGGGTGGACTTGCAGAGGCATGGGACACTGATGGGGTCTGGGCCCTTAGAGGCTGTCAGGTGATCTCTATTGTCCCCTTCTCTCCTCTCTGTAGGACGATGGCACCAGAAAAATGCTATGAACATGAACTTGCAGAAAGCACTAGAAGAGAAATACGGAGAAAAGAGTAAATCTAAGAGTTCAAAGTACTAGATATGGCATAGGAAATGCCCTCTGTCCAAACAAAGTGATGATAATAAAGACAGGCACAAATCTGAGCCCTGCTCCTCTGTGTGGTGCCTCTCTTCATCCTGGGAAGGGGACAAAGTTTTGGTGTTGGAGGGACCCGCTGAAGAAGACAGGAGCTCAGAGGGTCCAAACTGCCCCCTAGGCCCCCTTCCTCCTTCATACCTCCCTCCGTGATGCCTGAGAGGATGTGAGAATTGAGCCGGACTCTGTCTCAAGCCCAGTGTCCTGGATCCTTCCTTGTGCCCTGGGTGGATGGGTCCTATAGTAGACACTGCTAGACTGTACCCTACAAGCTCTCCTTAGCAAACCCCGATTGTTTCTAGATATCCATGCTCTCCCACAAGCCCATGGACTTCAGAGGAATTGGCCACATGCATTCCTTCTAGTCTAGGGATGGGTTTGACCAGTTCCATGGTGAGTCTCACCCCCTATCCCCACACAATGTGATGGGCTCAGGAGTGGGCATGTGACTTGCTTGGGCCAGTGAGATGCAAGGAAAGATGTGGCCTGTGAAGCCTTCTGGGAAATTCTCTTCTGTGCTGGAGCTCCTGGGGGAGCATCCCTTGCTCCTGATGCAGTAAGTGAGGAGCCGTGCAGCCCTGCAGAATTGCCCTGAGCACACACCCTTGGGCCAGAGGAACTGTGGACTATGCTGCATTAGCTGTGTCCTCATGACTTCACTGAGCTGCTCCATGAACTTGGCAAAAGCCACCCACCCCTGGACTTCCTGTAATGTGATCCTGGGAATCTCTCCATCATTTAAGTAGCTGAAAGCATGCTTAGTCATACGGATTCCTGGTGACAACATGGGAAGGACTTAGGGATTGGAACCCCAGGCAAGAGTCCCACTAGAGAAGGAAGGTTCAAGGTCAGGCAGCTATGTCTACCAGTAGATCCTGAAACTTTTCAGCTGATGGGTCTCTAAGCGAGCAGCACACCCCACCACAAGGTCACTGACTTGCAGTCTCAGAAGATGCTCTATTCACGGGATATTGACTGTTCACATATTCCAAGTCACACCAGAACCCAGTTAAATGATCATTTTCTTCCAACTGTGCAGTTGGGCAGGGCTCAGTTGGCCTGGCTCAATTCTGCTCCATGTGGCATCTGCTGTGGAGGTGTCTTCTGCTCCTCACATGCCTGGTGCCTAGGCTGGGATGAGTACCACAGGTGGGACGATGCCAGTACAACAGATGGGATGGCTACCACAGCTGGGAATGCCTGGACATCACTGTCTCCTTGGGGCCTCTCCTGGATGCTAACTTGGGCTTCTTCATGGCATGGTAACCAGGTTCTAAAAGGAGCTTCCAAGGGGACAAGATTCAGTGCTCAAGGGTTTATCAAGGTGGCCCTGGATCACATGCACAAAGGGGCCCAGCACAGGTGAAGATATGCAATACCACGCTCTTGTTAATAGCAAGACAACCTACATGTCTTCCACCTGGGAAGTGGACGTGTGGGATAGTCCAGAGCGATGGGAAGGGATGGACCTCACCTACATTGGAACAACGTCATGACATGTCACGGAGGTGGAAACGACAATGTGCAGAACAAGCACCACAACAGTAAACGTACTCATTATGTCGCCTTCAAAAGACATCAGAACACAGCACTGCTCCTGGGTATACATGTAAGAGCATGGAAGGTGGCTGGGAAGTATATTACCAAAATCCTCCTTCACGCCACATTTAGCTCAGCACCTCACAACAGTCTCACAAGGGAGTAACCATGCCAGGCTGACTTAGAGTCAGTGATGGACTCCAGTTTGACATCAGTGACATGTTTTATGATTTTGCCTCAGTTAAGGATTCTGTCTCAGGACATTAAAAAAGTTTTTTTTTTTTTTGATGGTAGTGGGGTTTGAATTCGGTACCTTCCACTTGCTACGATGCAGGTGCTCTATAAGCCGCTCTGCCAGTCCAAGAAGTCTTTTAAATTAACCATTTTCTAGAGAGAGCAAATCTGTAATCTTGGCAAAGTAAATAAAACATGCATAGATTTTTTTTTAACTTGGAGGCCTTGACCCCACTGGTGCTCTTTTCAGCACCCTCCCTCCCCATGCACCTGAGGCCCTAGATGGCAGAATTCAGTGATTCAAAGTTCCACAGTGATACAGGGACCAAATTGCATTAATTCAGTGAGTGAAAAGGCACTCACCCTTCAATTCAGGCAGGGCCTTGTTTACCTATGATGACTGAGACCCAAATTCATAATCTCTGTCATGTCTAAGTACCACCCAATAAGACATCAATAAAAGCAGTTTAGGAGCTGGGTGTTGGGAGAATGCATCAGAAATCCCAGTACTTGGGAGGCTGAGGCAGGAGGATCAAAAGTTTAAGGTCAGCATGGATTACATAGTGAGACCCTGCCTCAAAACAGAAACAAACTGTTGGGTCTAGAGACCTAAGGCAGATGAGTGAGTATCCCGTCCCCCATGGAGGGCATCCTGAGAGCTGAAACATCCATACAAACCCCAGCCTTCACCTGAGCAGCGAGCCACCGGCTTCCGGGCTCCGCTGCAGTACCCCAGCTGTAGCCGTTCCTTTCTCTCTAATAGATCCTACTTTATACACCGGCTTTGGCTTAGCATTCAGCTGCCTCACGAACCAGTTCTCTGGCCTGTGAAGGAAAGGACCCTCGACACCAGAACGTAACAAAACCTAACCAGTGTACAAGGTAAGCATATTCAGAAATGTCACAATGAATCCCCTCCCCCATACAACTAATGTATGCTAAAAAATGCTTTGAGAAAAAAGAAAAACAAAACAACACCCCCCAACAAAAAAACCAAGACAAGACCAACAAAACAAAACAAGCCAGGTATGAGGGTATACTTCTGTAATCTCAGCTACTCAGAAGGTGGAGGTAGGAGGCTCACAGTCCAAGGTCAGCTGACATGGGAAAAGTTTGATAACTCTCAAAACAAACTAAAAGAAAAAGGGTTTGGGATGTAGAGTGTTTGCTAAGCAAGTTCAAGACCCTGAGTTCCATCCCCAGTACCACTAAGAAAAAAAAAACTGGAAGGAAGAGGAAGAAACCATGCTCTAGAGCTAGGGCACATGGCTAGAATCCCAGCTCATCTCGCCCCCTGATGGCCATCTCTCCAAACTGCTGGCCCAGAGTTCAGAAATCTTTAAGTACACCTTGGGGGGAGGGGGTGGGGGTTCCTGAAGACCACAGACACGTCTCTCTACCCACGCCTTTCCTGCCCGCCACCCTCAGCTCCATCTCATGGATGAGGAAGTGAATTTATGTTGCATCCAGAAGCAAACGGTCCTTTTTCTGCTTTGCAAACCCAGACTCCATGTGACACAGTGGCAGCCCATCCTCTTCCTTCCCCGGTCTTTATAATGAGCAAACAGGAACTGCAGCTGGAGTCTAGCGAGGCAGATCGCTTCTCACTTCTTGAAAACTAACAGAGTTGTCACACATCTTTCCAACAATTACCTGAGAACATGTCTACAAGTAACCGACCCACCCAGGGCCACGCAAGTGTGTAATGTTTATGCTTTTCCTTCCTCTGCCTGCTTTCCTATAGATGTTTCAAAGACTGTGGTGACATGCTATTAGATATTGTATGAAAAATTACCCCATTGTCAAAGGGATTTGGGTTACACTGGTTTAAATAACACTATTCAGAACTCATTTGTTCAGGACTTCTCAGAACCTTGAGTATGCTAAAATTTATTGTGTCACTCCAAATTGTTGCACCTAGTTTTCACTGTTCCCCATTGGGCTTGGCAACAGAGCAAGCCATCAATGGCTATGAGAATGTCTATGATTATGACATTGATTTTATGCAACTTACAAGTTCAGAAGCCTGGGCAGTCTGGCAAGAGTAGCCCTGTTGGGTTTTTTTGTGGGGGGAAGGGTACATGGACCGATGCTGCTATAGTTTGGATGCTGAATGTCCCCCAAAAGTCCATGGTAAAAGCATGGTCCCCATGGTGACACTATGAGGAGGCCGCAGAACCTTTAGGGGGTGGGCCTAGCAGGAGGTCTCCAGGTCATTGTGGGTATACCCTTGAGGGGATTATGGGCCCCCAGCCTCTTGCTTCCTGGCCACGAAGTGAGCAGTTGGCTTGGCCACACACTTCCCACCACTGCTATCTGGCACCTACACGAGAGACCTGAAACTGTGGGTCCGCCTGACCTTGGACCAGAATTCCCAAGACTGTGAGCAAAAAGAAACCTTTTCCAAGCAAGTATTTCATCATAGCAACGCACAGGTGACTGCACAGGTGTGTAAGCCAGGATGCCTATACTTAAGGCCCATGGGGAGTGTGCCTCCAAAGGACCCGGCCAGTGCTGTGGGCATCCCCCACGGGGAGAAGACAAACACCGCCCTTGGCTGGGGCTGTAGTTCAGTGGTAGAGCACTTGCCTAGGATACATGAAGCCCTGGACTGGAGCCTTAACACCAAAAAATAAAACAAAACAAAACAATCAGCCCCCACATCTGTGAGTCTGAATCCACAGATTCAACCAATCACAGGTTGAAAATATTCAGAAAAAAATCGCATCTGTGCAAGTATGTACAGATTTCCCCCTTTTCATTATGCCCTAAACAACCAAGTACAACAACTACCCAGCATTACTTTGTACTGAGTACTAATACTGTGGAGATGACTGAAAGTACAGGGAGGGTGTGCCCAGACATGCCAGTCCTGTGGTTTTTATGTAAGGAACTTGGGTAGCCACAGATTTTGGTATTTGTGGCAGGGGATAAGGGCAGGGTGGAACCGGATCCCCCAAAGTTCCCTAGGGGCAAGGGGCAATTATAATCAGAGAAGGAGGTGAGCCTGGCCTCAGTACATGGGAGTGATAATTCTTTCATGGCTGCTACACAGGAATCAGGCCAGAGAGGGTGAACTCCCTGTGTGGCTGGCTTACCTGCTTTGTAGAAGAGGGGTGCTGGGTGACAAGTCCAGGACAATGGCGGGATGCAGCCTGGGGCTCCTCCTG